CTAAAAAGAAAAAAAAAAAAGGTTCTGAAGAACCTATGGGCAGGACAGGAATAAAGATGCAGATGTAGAGAATGGACCTGAGGACACGGGGAGGGGGAAGGGTAAGCTGGGACGAAGTGAGAGAGTGGCATGGACATATATACACTACCAAATGTAAAATAGATAGCTAGTGGGAAGCAGCCGCATAGCACAGGGAGATCAGCTCGGGGCTTTGTGTCCACCCAGAGGGGTGGGATAGGGAGGGTGGGAGGGAGACGCAAGAGGGAGGGGATATGGGGATATATGTATATGTATAGCTGATTCACTTTGTCATAAAGCAGAAACTAACACAGCATTGTAAAGCAATTATATTCCAATAAAGATGTTAAAAATAAATTTGAGTTTCAAATCTTGCTGCCTTTTCTCCTGGGGAATCCCGGTTGAATCTATCTGTGAACTGTGAATTGAATTGGCAGTGACACCCGAGGAATTTGAATCAGAAAGTTCTCCTCCAGGAAGGGGTGACCAGCCCGCACTTCTCCTCTCTTTGCTTTCGGCTACCTGATGGGACCTAACCCACCGGCAGCAGCAGCAGCGAATCCTAGGTTGTGGGAGCTGAACGGGGATTTACAGTTTTGGAGCTTGAACTCGGAAGGCGCTGGTGAAGATGACGTGGGTGATGCTGGGAGGGGCCGCATTTTCCCACGGCCGTTTCTCCGCGGAGATGGTCCTTGGATGCTCACTCGGCCTTGGCAGCGGGGTTGCCGACTTCCAGTCCCGCTGCGTCTGAGTGGCAGCTCAGTGGGAAACCCAGCTCAGCACAATGAAAGCCCTGGTCCTCAAGGCTGAGGCAGGAGTACACGCAGCTCTTTTCCCAGGCCTCCCGAGGAAGGGGGAGGGGCAAGGCCACGGGTGCTGTGAAACTGCCCTCTTTCCGGCAGGCGTCCCGCTGTTCCATTTCCCATCGCCTTCAGTAAGCAAGCATTCACACGCTAAAAGTGGTAACATCAGGGTTTTGACAGTGTGTTTGATTTTGTCTTCCTAAGAAAGGATTTGTGATGAAGACAAAGGTTCCTTTCATCCCATTCTGGGGAGGTTGGCAGGGAAGAGGTTACATCCCCAGCGAGGGGCTGAAATTTTATTCCAAGTGAGCTGGGCAGTCATTGGGAGGTGCAGCCATTCAAGGACGGTGTGTGCTCTGGAACACAAGAGGCTTGCCTGGAACTGGGGGAAAGTTTATGAGCTCTATCTTCTCCCTCATAAATTTTCATAGCGTGGTAGAAAATTAGGGTCAAAAGAAACAATTTCCCACGGTAAGATGGAATTAGGTTTTAATTTGGGAAGGGGGTCCTGGCACTCTGGGCCATCACTGTAGCATGATTAATTAATTAATAAATATTGATTTGGTATTGTACTAGGAATAATGGTGAACAAGACTCAGCCCCTGCCCTTAAGACGCGTATAGCCTGGTGCTGGAGAGAGGCAGTAACAGGTGCTGGTTGCAAAAGATTTGCTCCAATTTCACCTGGCTTTGATAAGTTTTATTAACTCACCCCAAGTGGAAACATCTACAGAATGATACCCACATATTCCCTGGTACTGAGATCCTGCAGCTCTTTACGTGGTGAACACTCCTTCAAGCATCTTTAAAGTGTCCGTGATTTAAGAACAACTCTTTCTGTTGGCGCTAGTGAATTAACCAAGGTCCACACCTACCCACTCAGGTGCCGGGAAAGTTGGGGCACACACAGTTTGATTTGGTGAACCCCCCTGTTCATCTTTCTATGTCTTTTCCACTCTCTTGAGGATTCCAAAATCTCTCATTCTCTCTCCCCACTCCATCCTCTCAGGAAAAGAATCTGAAACTTAACCCACACCGAACTAATGAACTAATGAAGCTCAAAGTGTGCTGCAATGAGGGGCAAAGTTGTTTTCATGGTTTTGGCCTAAGTTCCCCTAAATTCCACATAGGTGGTTAATATATGTGGCATAACAGAATAAATGAACACACAAGCAAAAAATAAAATAAAACAATAAGATGTATTGGAAAGCCCAAAAAGGGAAGGGGAGTTAGGCAGACAGAACGGTAGCATTCTAGTGCTCCAAGGAAGGTCATTAAGCAATCAACAAACACACACACAAAGAAAATATACTATAACAGCAAAAAATGTAGAGATTTTCAGAATCATCCAGGCCAAAGACGGTAAACAACCTGATCCCAGCACAAAAGGGGAAGCAGAGTTAGGCAGACAGAACAGTAGCACTCTCACATTCCAAGGAAGATCATTAAGCAATCAACAAACACACACAAAGAAAATATAACAGCGAAATAAGTAGCGATTTTCAGAAACAAAGATCATCCATCCCAAGAGAAGACAGTAAACTACCTGAACCCAACACGTGTACACACTACACTGCCCTTCATTCATTTTGCCAAAGCGTTACCATGGCCTGAGGCCTGCAGCAGCCACAGGCTCACAGGCGTCTGGAGCCACTGGGTCAGAAGGTGACCCTCCTGGCAGAAACCCTTTGACAGAATTTTGTACCCAGCGTGTGTGTTGCTCTTCCCGTGGAAGCTGAGCCTCTGATCTGGGATGTCGCTGCCCGGAGAGGTTAGGGCGTTTAAAGTCACCACAATCTCCCAATGCCTTTGCCACCTACCTGCACCCCCTTCTCCCGTCCGGTTCCACTCATGCGATCTATCACTTCCAGAGACCAATTAACTCTCGATTTCTTTTCCAAAAAGAAAAGCTTAAAGGTCTTAAATTATTCAACTTGCGCCAAGTGATATCGACCCCTTGAGTAATTCTCTTGTCAAGCTGCCCTTTAAACAGCACGAGAACACTGTGCTGTATTTTCATCACCCCACTCTTCACCCGCCCCTGCACACACCCCTGCTTTATCCAAGTGACTCTCACCTTTAAGATCAGTTTCAAGCAGGGCAGCTTCCTCAGCCTGTGCACTTCCCCGTGGGCAGGTGCTGTGCGGTAGACTTCCCAGAGTGAGGAAGAGGGAGAACCACATTGATGGGAAATCATAAGTTTCTTAATGAAGAAGGTTCTGGTCCCACTTCTGAATTAAGACAAACAGTTTGGTTCAGACCAGACAAAGAATGCAGCAGCATGCTGGTGTAGAAGCAAGCTCTCAATTTTTAGATATTAGTTATCTGCATCCAGCCAGTTTGCTGATTCTTTATCAGGAAATGCTTCTTCAGTTGATTGTCTGGGGTTTCCTTAGGTAGTCAACAATATTGGCTGTGCGTTTTCCCCCCTCCTTTTAGGTAATTATATATCTTATTTCCATTTGATATCTAAGTGCATTGCCCAGAGCTTCCAGGAAATGGTGAGTAATAATAACGATATCAGACATGCTTGGTTTACCCACGGTTTTAATGGAAATACTTCTAGGGTTTCACAGTTAAGTCAGCTGTTGCTCAATAAAGCTACATATTCTATCCCACATTTGCACCTTCTTATCTCTAGTGTTTTAAGGCTTTTTCTTATCTCAATAGGGCAAGAGCCTTGAACTTCACAAATCTCTTCAGCATCTAATGAACTTTTCCTTTTATGTTACCAATATGATTTATTAATATATTAGTATTAGTGTAGTTATTCTTGTATTCCGATAGTAAATCCTACATGATCATAATAAATGATTCTTTAAATGTGCTGTTAAATTTAATTGGCTAGTATCTTATGTAGGATTTCACACCTATGTTAAAAGGTCAGGTTGATCTACAGATTTCTATTCTGAAGTTTGGGGAAAATAAATCTTTAACAAATTTTTTTAAAATTTTTAATTATTGGACTATTCAAGTTTTCCATTTTGTCCGGTTAAAAATTCTTCTGTTTATTAGCATTTATTGTATTTTATAATCTTTTAAAACTCCTCCATACTTATTCATTCCTTCCTTCAATAAATACTGTGTTTAACTTTGTAAACTCAATTCATAATAAGGACTCTGCCAGGGAGACTTGACATTTTAGGGGTTAAATCACTGTGCCTGGTGTTGATTTAGGTGCTGATGATACAGTCGTGAAAATACCCAGAGATCTTTTCTGATGGAGCTTGCATCCTAGTGAGGGAAACCATAGACGAAGTAAACAAATTGATAGCAGACAGTGACATGAAGATGACAAAGCGAGGGCTTGTGATGCGGACAGGAGAACGTGGCTGCCTGGGACACAGTGCTCAGAGGAGCTGGGGTTTCGTGGGAAGCAGGCCTGTGAAGGCCAAGGGCCAGCAATGCCAAGGCTCCAAAGCCAGAACGTGCGTGGTAGGTTAAAGGACAAAAGGAAGGGCAGGAAAGGGCTTCCCTGGTGGCACAGTGGCTGGGAATCCGCCTGCCAATGCAGGGGACGCGGGTTCGAGCCCTGTTCTGGGAGGATCCCACATGCTGCGGAGCAACTGAGCCCGTGCTCCACAACTACTGAGCCCGCGTGCTGCAACTACTGAAGCCTGTGCACCCACGCGCCTGGAGCCTGAGCTCCGCAACAGGAGAGGCCACCGCAATGAGAAGCCCGCGCACCGCAACGAAGAGTAGCCCCCGCTCGCTGCAGCTAGAGAAAGCCCACGTGCAACAACGAAGACCCGAGGCAGCCAAAAGGAAATTTAAAAATTAAAAAAAAAGAAGGGCAGGAAGGAAAGGCAGGCAGGTGATGAGCAAGGAGGCCAAGAGACAGGCACAGGTGAAGTCCCTCTTGGGTATCTCTGGAAGGCTGGATGGATTGCTAAGGGCAACGGGAAGATGCTGGAGGACTTTTCGCATGGCTGGACAGGATCCACGCACACTTTCAGAAGGGCAGTCTGGCTGTGGTAGGGGTGTTGGGGCAGAGAACCAGAGAGGCTGCGGGGAGACTAGTTCGGGGTTGAGGCGTTGCATGGGCAGGAGGTGAGGGTGTGGCCACGTCCCTCCTCTCATTTTGCTTGTTCTTTTCCTCCCCTGAGTAGATATTCTGGAAGTATGCCTGCTTGATTGCTTTCATCTAAGAAGCAGCTCTTGGCTTTCCTGATGTACTCACTCTTCTGATGTTCTGTTATCGATAATTCATTAATGGTGTTTTAGCCTCTGTGATTGCCTTCTGTCTACTTTTCTTTTGACATCCTGTTCCTTTTGCTCTCTTCTGAGTCTTAGCTCATTCGTGTTTTGCTTTCTTTAAAAACAAAAACATTTAGAGATTTCAGTGTATCCTATAAATCTGATAGATAGCAAAACCTTAGTTTCAGCAGACATTGCCAGTTAGGGCATTAACATCAGGGATCCAAAGTTCACTAGATCAAGGTCCAACATGGACAACTGTGATTCTTTTTGAACCCTCCCCCCTTTGAGTAACTCTCCACCCTACTGAAACAGAGCAGGACCCTGTGGTCCTCGCCCCCCATGTCCTCAGCCTTCCTCTTGTCTGTGGAAAAACTGTAGGCAAAGAATAAGTTTAAATCAGAGAAGTGAGAAAATGCAGAAACAAAGGAAAACAGCCCAACAAGACAAAACAATAATAGTTTAGTCAGTAAGCAAAGTCAGGGACCTTTAGTTCCTCGTCAAGGAATATTCTGAGCCCTATCCTGTGAGCTGTCTTATAGATGCTGAAACCCTCACCAGATGGAAGAAGTTAACTACGTGATGACCAGACGGTAGCCATGACAGAAGCTGCCACAATTCCAAGAACTGGCTTCAAGGAAATGGGCACAAACCGACCCTGGAACTGCAGACTAACTACTTAAAACAATCAAGATGACGCTGATCAGACCACCAGTGACCAATTTCAAGATGACTGTCAGAGCCGACTGTGCTGTTTTCTGCAGGTAGCCCCTCCCTCCGACTATAAAAGCTCTTGTCCGCTGGTTGTCAGTGGCGGGAGTCGGCCTTTGGACAGGAGTCTGCCCTCCCCGCTCTGGTTGCCAGCATCCGAAACAAAGCAGACTTTCCTTTCCACCAACCTTGCCTCTTTATTGGCTTTTGAGCAGCGAGCTGCCAGACCCCACTTTGCGTTACACTATGGAACGCAGCCTGCCTAACCCATATTAAATGATAATCCCAGATGCCTTCCCAGTCCCCTGTGCCAGGACACGGGCGTTAGACTCTAAGTTAGAAGCCAGGGAAGGGAGAACCAGGGCTGCGCACACCTGCTGGGAAGTGGCAGCAAGGGCCACCTTCACACACAGGGGCCAAGGAGCTGATGAGAGCTGATGGGAAGAAAAGTTCCACAAAGGAGAGACAACCAAACACGTCCAAGGTCCCTAGAAGACCAGATAAGGGGGGCAAAGAGAATTGGCCACTGGAGGTGGCAACAGGGAGGCCACGGGAGGGGAAGCCCTTTCCGATGGTGTGAACAGGGAAGGCCGGCCATCACCTGTAGGAAGGAGGTACCACGGAAAGTCGGAGGTTTGCGGGAAGGAGGCTGTGAGAACCCCCTGGAGAGAGACCATCCTCTGCTGCGCTTGCCAACTTTTTGAGATTTTCTGAACATCTGAAAATTTTTTAGCAGCCAATCTCCATGGCATGTGTGTGTGTGTTTGTTTCAGAGAATGCAAGAATACAAGTTAGATAAATTGCATCCTAGTCTAAAGCCAGTATGAGGAGAGAGAACCGTGGGTCGCCAGGAAGGTCCCCAGGTCCCAGGGTCTACGGAGGGAAATTCAGGACTGTGATCCCTCCGGTCCTGAGCAAAGCAGAACCATCCCCTAGACATGGCCTCATCTTCCATCAGGAAATTGGACTTCATATGTTTGGAAATTGAATTTCACTGATGTGGACGCCCAGTATATTTTTTCCCTCCAATATAGCTTTATAACTGCAAAAGCTAGTGGAGGCTATCTAACCAACCCCATTTTGCTTTTGCTGAATACAGCACATCTCCCTCCTGGTGAGCACGTGTTTTAGCTGTCTCCATCCGAGGCCCCCGCTTCCCTCCGTGGGCCAATGCCTATCTTTTCATAAATTAATTAATTAATTTAATTTTTGGCTGCATTGGGTCTTCATTGCTGCGTGCAGGCTTTCCCTAGTTGAGGCGAGCAGTGGTTACTCTTCGTTGCGGTGCGCAGGCTTCTCATTGTGGTGGCTTCTCTTGTTGCGGAGCATGGGCTCTAGGCACGCGGGCTTCAGGAGTTGTGGCGCACAGGCTTCAGGAGTTGTGGCTCGAGGGCTCAGTAGTTGTGGCACATGGGCTCAGTAGTTGTGGCACATGGGCTCAGTAGTTGTGGTGCGCGGGCTTAGTTGCTCCGTGGCATGTGGGATCTTCCTGGACCAGGGCTCGACCCCGTGTCCCCTGCATTGGCAGGCGGGTTCTTAACCACTGCGCCACCAGGGAAGCCCCACCAATGCTTATCTTTTTTTTTTTTTTTGCGGTACGCGGGCCTCTCACTGTTGTGGCCTCTCCCGTTGCGGAGCACAGGTTCTGGACGCGCAGGCTCAGCGGCCATGGCTCACGGGTCCAGCCGCTCCGTGGCATGTGGGATCCTCCCGGACCCGGGCACGAACCCGCATCCCCTGCATTGGCAGGCGGACTCCCAACCACTGCGCCGCCAGGGAAGCCCACCAATGCTTATCTTTGATGGTACTCCCATCCTATGGGCGAGCTGGAAAGAAGTCAAGAACAAAAATATTTGATGAGGCTGAAAGCAGGCTTTCCCTGTCAAAATGCTGTACTTTACCACCAAAAGTGAATCCCAGGCCTTAAAACCTTCCCTTGGAGCCCACACGCCCCAGACGACACTTGTAACCTTGTCGTTGGCTTTCTGGTGACTGATTTCCGGTGACTGACCCTCCCTTTTCCAGGAGTAAGAGTCTCCTCTCACACGTACAATGTTAAGTCCCCACGGCAGACAGCTAATTTTAAACTGAATCTACAGAGTGAATGCCAGATGCTAGAATCCTCGATTAAAGGGCTTTCACCCTATTCCTATTTACAAAAGGATATTTGACTACCTGACCCACATTCATTTTCCTGTCTGTGTTAACCACGAGGTGTCTACCTAGGAAGAAATAGACACAAAGGGTCTGTGTTCCGAGGATGAACGACTGTATTTGATTTTGGACGTGCAGCTCGCCATCGAGTGGGGATGTCTGCATCGGCTGCATCGGAGCCCTGGACAGACTTCAGGATAACCCTTTAAACAGCTTATTCTCATCCTCTTCCCAAACCCACTAGGAAAACATTGTGCTGAACAACTGAACATCCTGCAGGGCAACCTTTGAGGCCATAAATAGATGATGAAAATAGATAATCCAAATAAATAAAAAATTCTTTATCGCTTTTAACAGGGCCCATCTGAACTCAAATCAAGAGGCAGAGCCAGAAGAGATGGCCTTTCACGAGCACATACATGGGCCGGGGAGGAGGAACGTGGGTTAACTGTAGAGCCACGCAGAGCACTCGCCTTGTATCCAAAGGGTTTCTTCTCTGTAGTGACCTGTCCCCATGGAGAGCTTCCCAAAGGCAAAGGTCCCCGGGGCCTATTTTCTTAAGTGACTCTGTTGCCTTTTGCACTGTAATCCCTCTCCTTTCCAAATCTTCCCGGACTCCCGGCATCAGTCCTGCATTTGACCCATCACTGAGCGCCCACCGTGCACCAGGCCCTTGAGTCACATCACACACGACGCCCCTGTCCTCGCTCGTGACGCTGACGGTTTAAAAGGATCTCTCCAGGGACTTCCCTGGCGGTCGAGTGGTTAGGACTCCGCGCTTCCACTGCAGGGGGCACGGGTTCAATCACTGGTCGGGGAACTAAGATCCTGCAAGCCACGTGACACGGCCAAAAAATAAAAAGAAATAAAATGAAAGGATCTCTCTGGAGCTGTGCTGCAAGTGGACCAAAGGGCGGACCCAAGTTTGCTCCTGTCCATTCTCCTCCAGGAAGTTCCCAGGCAGCTCTGCCCAAGAGCCTTTCTACTCCATGGCTAACTCCGTTCCCCTGCCCATCTTGGCTCCCATGCCACCTCCTCCAGGAAGCCCACCATAGTCACCCTGTGCAACCCACAGCCTCCCCGCCTCCTAAGCCCTGTTCCTCTTCGCAGCCTTCAGTTTCTACCATACATACACATTGCTTTGAATGGTTTTATTTATTTTTTTAAATTAATTAATTCATTTATTTTGGGCTGCGTTGGGTCTTCGTTGCTGCACACAGGCTTTCTCTAGTTGCGGCGAGCAGGGGCTACTCTTCGTTGCAGTGCGTGGGCTTCTCATTGCAGTGGCTTCTTGTTGCAGAGCATGGGCTCTAGGCATGCAGGCTTCAGTAGTTGAGGCACACGGGCCTCAGTAGTTGTGGCTCGCAGGCTCTAGAGCACAGGGCTCAGTAGTTGTGGCGCACGAGATTAGCCGCTCCGCGGCATGTGGGATCTTCCCGGACCAGGGCTCAAATCCATGTTCCCTGCATCGGCAGGCGGATTCTTAATCACTGCACCACCAGCGAAGTCCTCAACGGTCTTAGTTTATTGATGGCCTCTTCCTCCCCAGCAGTCCCCTCTGAGTCTCCTGAAGTGTCTCTTGCCCCAGCCATACCTTCTAGTTCCCTCAGTTCTTTTCAACAACGAGTGATTTTCCGCCTGTTACATGTCAGACGCTGATGATACGAAGATGAAATAAGCCTTGAGTCCTTGTCCTGAAGGAGCTGACATGTTTGAGGGGGCAGGTGTGCAAACATCTCACCCCACGGTGCTACGCTCAAGATAACAGAGGTCTCTCTGAATTGCTGGGAGATCACAAGAGGACCACTCAGCCCCAACTGGGAGTGAAGGGAAGTCCTCCTGTTGATCACAAATTCAAGGATTCACTGGCCTAAGACGAAACTTGAAGGATGAGTAGAAGTTAGCCCAAAAGAAGGACTAGGTTACACTAGTAACCAATAAACTTGCCCCCAGCCGCAGGCGGGTCTCCTCAACCGCCAGCCCACGTCCAATGACTCCCCAGCACACCTGGAGTAAAATCCAAGGACCTCACCCGGGGCCGCGCCTACCTGCCCACCTCTCCTCCCCGCGCTACCCTCCCACATGATAAAGGGTTTTTTACTTTATCCTGAGTTCTCTTTTTAGGAAGACCAAGTTAAAAAATAAGACTATGATAATATGACTTTTAATGAATGAATGTCCTCTTAGTTTAAAAAAAAAAAGGTGACGCAACAGTGATGGGAAGAGTGGGATGCGGGAAACAGGGGCGCCCTGCACCGCGCCTCGCCCTTCCCTCCGCCAGTGTGGGGAGAGAGCCGCCCTGAGGCGATTAGACGCTAAGTGGGTGCCCTGCACTCCTCGACTGTTCATCGTTCACAAACTGCCCAGCGCAGACCTCTTTCCTGAGCCCTAGGCTCTCGGATCCAACTTCCCACTGACCATCTCTGCCTGCGTCTCCCACGGTGGCCTCTTAAATTCTTACGTGCAAAGTAGAACCTGTGGTCTCCCCTGTACACCCCACCCTTGCAGCTTTAT